TGTTTGGGATTCCTTGTAGTGCCCCTAAGCTCACTGGCATGCGACTTTGTCTAAGAGGGTGCGGTCACTTTGTAATCAATTACCTAATGCACAAACATGCTTCCTCTCTCCCCATTTTGTATATAGAAAATGATTTAACCTAATGGTTACAGCTAGCATGATATGCATATCATGTCCACTGTATTTTAGTTTATTCCTTTTCCTTGATTATTAATTTCTTAAAAACATGAGAGTAACCATAATATCAGTAACAATACTAACTCAGTCAATATTAACCTAAATCCAATAGGCATGGCATGTACATACATGCCATGCTCACTGTGAGTTTACTTTATTAACTATTTTTGCACATTGCTACACTTGTACTAAGTAAGTCACTAATGAGCCAATTGTGGGTACTGCCTGTCTCGCCTATTTACCCTTCTCTTTGATTTTCAAAAATATTTTACGTTATCTTATAATGCTGTTATTAATGTCAATAACATTATAGCAATTATAATTTCTATAATAAAAAAAAACAATTAATATGCATAGCATTAGAGAGAGATAAAAAAAATGCCAATTCAAGGAAAGGTGAAATGAGGTAAGGTCACAAATATACATACATCTACTAATTGACTGCTTTATGGCTATGCACTAGAAGAACCATCTATGTGTAGAGACTTTTCATAAAAAAAAATTAAATGAGCACAGCATTTTCCTGGCAGCACTGAGTTAATAGTATTAGAGAAGAACATTTTCTTGCAGACTCAAGGAATGAGAAAATATGGCACTTTCACGAGTATCTACTAACTGACTCCTTTTAGACTCAGTATTTGTACTACAGATGTGCAATAAAATTCACAAAAAATATGGTTAATCTTTATGGTATAGATGCACTATGCTAGGTTCAACATATCATTATTGTAAAGGACAAAACATAGTCATCATACAACTAATAATTTGAAGACATGAATGGCAACACCACAAATAAAGATAAAAAATTGTATGAAGTTTTACTGCATGACAATCTGATTTTCATGACTAACAGTATATGAAATCAATAAATTAATAAAATTCACTTTTCATCTATTACAGCTGCACAAACTGAAACTCATATAGAAACACAATTCTCATAGCAACTCTTTTAACATTCATTCTTCACTAGTAAACCACCAGCTAATGCATACTTATTTAAACTGATGTGCATCTGTCTAAAAAAGTACATTCTAATGGGAAAAATACAAGTCCTGAGCATTAAATTCATCTTTCATGTGGCATTCTGTTTGGGGTATGGAATTCAACTACGGGGGCTGTTCAAAGCTGGTTCTTATATCATGGACCATGTGTGTGATTGCTGCATTGATTTCGTTTAGGGACATACATTGGCGATAGCCCCACAGATTTTATCATATAATTAAGGAACCAGTCTAAGATCCATCCTGCCTGAATATACCTATGGGATGTTTGTCGACTTTTATGCCATTGCGCGGTGAGGTGCTTGGGCAACCGTGACTGCTGTGCACTTGGTACCTACGTAGGTATGCAGATTGTGACAAATTCACGTTATACATTTTCCTTTTACATTAAGCTGAAATCAAATGTCTCCCCACCAGCTTTGAAAACCCTTATTTCCTTTGTGTCCCCTAAACCTGTGGGATAGAGAAGGGAATGGGTTGCTCACTCAATATACAAACATCTGCGCAAAAATACAAACACAGGATATGTGTTGACCAGACCAAAGCAAGGAAAGACTCCTATACCCTGTCCTCGAAAAGTCAAGATATCATCGACGAAGAATTTACCATAAAGTAAACTCAAGGCACATTATTCCAATCAGGTGTGGACAAGAATAATACCTGGATCAATCTTCATACCCAATGCTCATCCAATTGGTGTCAAGAGAGAGAACTAGCCTGCCTTTGTGCTCTAATTGCCTCCCTCCCGCCCCACCTCCAGAGACAGGTCTCCTAATCCCGCACACGCGATCGTAGTGAAGCCAAGAGACCTGTCCTTCATAGCAGCAAGAGCCAAAGGGATTCTGCTAAATCTGACACTCGCCTCTACCATGACAATGCACTCTGAAGGGAGGGTACAATTTTTTTTGCTCAAGTTCCCTAATATTCCCTCTGCCCGCCTACATTTCAACGCCCAGTGAGTCGGCTAATTAACCTTTCCGCAAGGAGGGCAAAGGCACAGGTAATGTCAGTGCTGTTACATTAGAATCGGGTGACAGGGAGCAGCCTGGCCACCATGCATTTCATCCGGTAATTGCCAGTAATCTCATCTTTTTCGATATAAATCCACGTGTTTGGGCTCTCCCGATGGCTAGCATAGACCAAGCGTTCACGAGAGACTCACCTTTATTATTCTTCGTGGTAATCCCGCAGCCATTTTTGTGAAATATTACGGAAATATTTCACGGCGCGGCGAGTGCTGGACCAGCTCAGTTGTGTTCCAATGCCGATGTTGCTTCTCTTATCGCCACTATACGCTTATAAAAGGCTTATGCTTCTTGTTCTTTGGATATTTCGAATTGTGTGAGGAAATATTTCTGGTCGATTTCGTTTATGCCTTTGGAGTACATTGGGATTCCTCCTTTTTTAGAAGAGGTTGCAGCTCGGCAATAGATTTTCTCTCGTAAAATACAACAGCGGGTATTTCAAAATTTCCCATCGTTTCTGTCAATGTTCTCAATAAAATCAGTAGCTTTTCTATATTCTGTCCTTATCTCCTCTTAACTGGGTACTATTTATTCAGCATCCACATTTCCCATGCCATCCTCATGCCAAATTAAGCTCGGTTCAAAAGCGTGGGCATTAACCGGAAGTCAGTCTTTGTTGAAAGTGGATGAGTCTCCTCGGCGAGAAGAGATGACAAAGTGACATTTAGCGAGACAAAACATTTTTTGATGGCTGAGGCATTTTGCAGAATTATTTCAACGCAGAATGCAGCATAAAATCAACAGCAGCGAATAAGAACAGGACATTCGGTTTGCAATGCCATAGTGTAATCATGTAAGTGCGCTATGTGAATCCACACAAAGGCACGGAGAGAGTATTAAAATTTACATTTCTATAACACCAAAAGCACTACCAATGCAATCTTGTTCCTTGGCAATGTTATTTGCAAATCTGTGACCTACTGCTGTTCAGCGCCGCACTCATTTCTTATTACTTATGTAAAGAATCAGGACCACGCAGAACAATTCCTATTTTGTATTCATGTGCGTACTCCTTGTATGTACGTATATTGATTAATCTATTTGTGCGTGCACATGTGAGTGTACATGTGCGTTTTTTCTGAGCTTGGAAACGTGTCTGGAAATCCATTTCTATGTGAACTGAAGGATGAAGAATATATAAGAAAAGGCTGCTGAGCGAATGCGGAAGCTCAGCTCTTTGTCTAATAATACCCGGTAACCCTTACTGAGTACATACGTGTGTCCTTTGAATATGTTAGAATAATCATGTACTGTGTCTTTTGAAGTGTATTAAATATGTATCATTTCATTGTTCTCTGGATAGATAATAAACCTACCTAAGTATATTCTCCCTATATTTGAATACCACTAAGAAAAATCGTATAATGTGTGTTCTATTGAATATCGACAGTGTGCATATTTTGCAAGTATATGACGCGCATGGATAGCAATGCAAGCTCAGAGCTAGCATGCCAAGTGCCTTCCGAATTCGCTAGATAAGTTCGATGAGCACATTCAGTGGAAATGGGAAGCATTCAGGGATTAGCAGCAGAGAGTAAGGCTTCTGAGTGTGACAAATCTCTTCGGAATGGATGACGTATGGGCACCGCCGGAAAATTATACATGGGGGTAATACATGTAATACTTCTGGTTAAATATATATAACGAACGATAATATATATATAAATTATAGACGGACTTATATCAATATGTTGTTCTTCAGTGTTTTGTGGCAGGTTGTTATCGGTATTTTCTAATTCAGAGTTTAGAAGGTAAAAGTTAGAAGGGTTTGAGCCTATATAGCAGGCAGGCTAAGCCACCCTGCAGATCCGTCACTGCTAAAAGTCGAGTGGCGAAATGTGATCACAGAATGAAGCAGTGTGCTTTCATACAGTTCGGTTGTGTTATTATGTATGGAAACCTGACGAGTTTGTAAATTCGATAAATTGCTTCAGAATATGGTTATTCAGTGCGCTAGAGATATGTTGTGATCAAACGAATTAGTCGAGCAAAATTTTATAGTAAGCCGGGCAGAATTAATGTCAGCTAATGTCTCACGCAGAGCCCATGTGTCAGCCCCCTCCAATTGTACTGGGCTACATGGTGTCACGCGAAACAGCGCCTACACCTGGTTGACTGATTGAAATAGGAAAGAAAAAGATAGTTATTGTAATTCTTGAATTTCTGACAATTATACGGTTACCGCAATATGGTTCCATTTGATGGCTGAAGCACGTGTCCATTTTGTTTATTGGATAATCCAGGGCTGATAGAAAGCTTCCGGATAGAACTACGACTGGCAAATAAACAAAAATGCTGAAATAGGTAGGCCTATAGACATTAAATGGTGGATTAGATTTAAAAACACAAATAATCGAAGAGTATCTGCAGCGGAGCTGACGTGAGAGTCTCTCCCCTTCCCAGTTCACTGTTCATCGTTGCCAATGAGTGAACCCCAGTTTCCGAATACAAAAGTTCGAATTTATTGATTCACACATTGGTTACAATCAGCAATGAACCTGGGCGTAGAGTATTTTCTGCAGTTTAGATGTATTTGGTGATTTAAAGTAATGTTCAAGGAACTTTCTTGTGTTTCAGAAACCCCTAGTTCAGAATATGATCTGACCGGTTTTATATTCAATTAATGATGGTAATACACATAATAATACTGGTGAATGATCACAGGGGTTAAATTAACACTATTTTACACAGATATATGATAAAAGATAAGATAAATGTACAAAATATTAATATACAAGGTACATAAATTTGGTAAACGTAAACGTAACGATAAATTCACAAAACTGCGGTGCATGACACTAGAGAAAGAGGGAAAATTATAACCAAATACAATTTATGAATAGTTTGTTCGTGATGAAGCCGGCGCTGTTTCATTGAACAAATCGATCGGAACGCGGTTTCACTGGAGGGTACTCGTGTCCCTGCCGTCTTACTTTCAGCTGAATCTTACAATTTGATCCTGTTTATTTATTTATGCTTCGACTTATATATTGATTTACTGTCAGATTGCATTATAGTGTGGCATCACTCTGGATTTCTAGGTTGACTGCATGTTACAGTTATGATCTGGTGATTAGTTTTTTACTATTATAGTATTCATTTAGTGATAATGATATAATGATAGTAATAACAATGATGATAATAAATAGTAATAATATTAATCATAATGATAAAATAATATTGAAAGTAATAATAATAATGATAATAATAATAATAATAATAATAACAATAATAATAAATCTATGAAAACTCAATTACTATTACTAATAATAATGTGATCTGTAATAAAGATTATACATTATTACAATCGTATCAATAATGATAATGATAACATTGGAAATGATAATATGAGTATATTATTATTATTATCATTATTACTACTACTATTATCATTATGATCATTATTTATCATTACTATAATTCTACTAGCTTTTTTGTTGTTGTTATCGTGATCATATATTATCTTTTTTAGCACTTTTAACATTGCCATCATCATTACAGTTATCCCCGAAATTATTTTCACTACCATTATCATCTTTATTATTGTCTACTACTACTTTTAGTAGTAGCCAGCGTTTTAGTGGCTGTACTATTGTTACTGCTAGTATTTCTATCATTAGTATTATCATCATATTTACTATTATCATTATTATCGCTTTTATTTTTATATAATATCTATTACTGTTGTTATTGATATTATCGTTATTAGTAGTAGCAGCAATAGTTAAAGTAACAGTGATAATATGCAGGTCCGGATTAAGTTAGATTAAAGTCAATGAAGCGAAATTATTTGTCATTATGTTTCACTTTCCATATTTCATTCCAGTTATACTCCAGTATGACTTTAAATTAAGAAGATATACTGAATAAAAAGTATATCAAGAAGATATGAATATATACTGAAAAAGTCGCTTCTCATGATTGACAGCAATGGGGATCACGAGAGGTTTAGAATGATCTCTGCAAGAGGCTAAGCCACGGGCAATACATATATTCTTAGTTAAGTGGTAAGGGTGACGAATGCAATTCAGCAAGGCCGGGCGCACACTCAGATACAGGCGAGACGGGCGACGCAGCAGACCACGTCACTTTTCAAAATGTGAATGCGCTCACTGCGAACTGTGCAGTTCAGACGGGCGCACAGTACCATCCGCGGTAATGGAACTCACCCAATCTGTCCGAATCCAGAGGTTGCTGTATGGCACTAGCCATCCATAAAACAAACACACGTGTGTGTGTATATGTATATATGCACATATAATGACGATTATATATATATAAATTCAAATATAAATACATATACATATATACATATATACGCATACATACACACACACAATATATATATATATATATATATATATATATATATATATATATATATATATATATATATATATATTGTGTGTGGGTGTGAATATATTGATATATGTATATTTATTATATATATATATATATATATATATATATATATATATATATATATATATATATATATATACATGCATATTATCATTATTACCATATATATATATATATATATATATATATATATATATATTATATATATATATATATACATATACATGTGTGTGTGTGTGTGTGTGTGTGTGTGTGTGTGTGTGTGTGTGTGTGTGTGTGTGTGTGTGTGTGTGTGTATGGTGTGGTGTGTGTGTGTGTGTGTGTGTGTGTGTGTGTGTGTGTGTGTGTGTGTGTGTGTGTGTGTGTGTGTGTGAATATATATATATATATATATATATATATATACATATACATGTGTGTGTGTGTGTGTGTGTGTGTGTGTGTGTGTGTGTGTGTGTGTGTGTGTGTGTGTGTGTGTGTGTGTGTGTATGGTGTGGTGTGTGTGTGTGTGTGTGTGTGTGTGTGTGTGTGTGTGTGTGTGTGTGTGTGAATATATATATATATATATATATATATATATATATATATATATATATATGTGTGTGTGTGTGTGTGTGTGTGTGTGTGTGTGTGTGTACACACACACACAATATATATATATATATATATATATATATATATATATATATATATATATATACACGCATATATATACACATATATATATATATATATATATATATATATATATATATATATATATATATATACACACGCATATATATATATATATATATATATATATATATATATATATATATATATATATATATATATATATATACGCATTTATATATATCTGTGTGTGTGTGTGTGTGTGTGTGTGTGTGTGTGTGTGTGTGTGTGTGTGTGTGTGTGTGTGTGTGTGTGTGTGT